GCTGTAGAGTTTTGGCAGCTTACCTCGTGTTGGGCTGGAATCAGTAAGGCTGGAACTTTCAGGCAATTCTAGGTTGCCTGCTTTTCCTTTCCTTTAGCTTTCTTCAGCTCCTTTTAGATGGGTGCTGCAGGGTGTTTATCTGCCTGGGGCCCCTTGCAGTGCTGCCTCCCTTGTTTCTGCTAATGCACTGGGAGATTCCTTTGTGGTAGAGTGACGAAGCACCTGGTGGTTTTCTGAGCTGGCCTCTACCGGTTTCCTGGAGGTCCAGGTGTTGGTGTTTGCCTACTCTACCACTTGGGCTTCAGGATCTCCTTCTGGGGTTCTGACAGCTTACCTGGTTGGAATAAGCAAGGCTGGGGCTTTATGAAGACTTTAGCTTGCTTTCTTTGGCTTCTTTCAGATGAATGCTGCAGGGTGCTTATGCGCCTGGGGCCCTTTGCTGCTTCCCTTATTTTTGCTGAGGCACTGGGAGACCCATTTGCTGGGCTGCTGCACTGTTGCTCCCCATCTTTCTTTTAGTTCAGTTGTTCCAGGGTTTTTTTTTCCTGGGGTGATATTTTCTGGGTTTTCAGAGTTTGATGGGGAGGGTGAGAGGGACTACCTTTTTACTCCACCATCTTGGCTCCTGGAAGCGGAACTCTATATATACTTTTTAAAAACACATATAGATGTATAGATATAGATATACACACAAATGTGTGTGTATCTGTGTATGTGTTGTCCTTCTTGATACAAATTTGAGAATATACTAGGGAAGGAAGAAGAAGGAAGGGGAGAGAATATATTATAATATGTAAACACAAAGAAAAGGATAGAGGAAAAGGGCATCTCATTAACCTCACCAAAGAAAGGAGGGTTGATCACATACAAACAAAGAATATGGTGTGGAAATATATAAAACTCAACCAGGAAATAGATTGGGACATAGAGAGAAGAGTCCTTCAATATCAGAGGTGGAATGTGATTGAAAAGAAAAAAAGGAAAGTAAAAGTAAAAACCTATGATTCAGGGTAGGGTGAGGAAAAGATAAGAGGTGCAGCAGAGTAGAAACTGATTCAACTGTAGATCACTAGTGATAAACAGGCTCCTTTTTTACCACCTTCTTTGTAAATGGAGCAAAGAGAAAGAAAATAAGAGGAAAAGGGATGAGAGACCAGAATGGAGGGAAATACAGAATTAACAATCATAACCATTAATGAGAATAGGATAAACTCATCCATAAAATGGAAGAGGATATCACACTAGATTAGAAAACAGAATCCAACGAAATCTTGTTTACATGACAAACACCTGAAACACAAAAATTTGTAGTTAAAATGAGGGGCAGGAGCAAAATCTGTTATGCTTCAGGTAAACTCAGAAAAGCTGGAGTAGAACTCATAATTTCAAAGAAGGTAATAATAAAGGAAATAAACAGGAAGACTATATTGTGCTTAAAGGCAACATCAATAATTAAGATATGTACACGGAATGGCAAGTACCTAGTTAAAAGAAAAAGTAATCAAATGACAGAGAAATAGTATAATCAAACTATTCAGGGACCTCAATGTAACTCTTTGAAACCTAGAGAGATCTAACAAAAAGATAAATAAGAAATAAGCTAAAGATTTGGATTTTATAGAAGTTAGAAGTAATAGCTCTCTGGTGATTACAGAATGGGAATACAAAGGAGTAGAGATATTTCTCAATTGTGCATAGTACCTTTACAAAAAATGATCACTTTTTGGGGCAGAAAGCCTTCAAAAATAAATGCAAAAAAGCAAAAATATTAAACATATTCTCTATTTACCACAGTGCAATAAAACCATATTCAATAAAGGCCTTGGAAGAAAGGATTAAACATAAATTGGAAATTAAATAATTTAAATCTTAAGAATTGGTAAAGCAAGAATGTCAATTATCATCATTGTTTTTTTGACAGTGTTAGAAATGCAGCTCTAACAATACAATAAGAAAAATAAATTGAGGGAATAAAGTTAGGCAAAAGCAATTTGGAACTGTGCCCTCAGAATTTCTAAGCTATGAATATCTTTTGATTTGGTGATGCCACTAGTAGGCCTTTACTGCCAAAGAGATTAAAGAGAGGAAAAGGACCCACTTTTTTTTTTTTGGCAAGGCAATTGGGATTAAGTGATTTGCCCAGAGTCACACAGAAAAGGACCCATTTTAATGAAAAAATATTCATAGTAGCTCTTTTTGTAGTGGCAAAGAACTGGAGACTAAGGTGGGGGGGATGCCTATCGACTGGGGAATGGATGAAAAAATTATGGCACAGGACTATATTAGATTATTATTACACCATAAGAAATGACTTAAGGGATGATTGCACAGAAACTTGCAAAGATTCATATGCACTGATACAGAGTTCAGTGAGTAGTACACAGAGGACAATTATACAATAACAGCATCTGAATAATTTGAGAATTCTGAGCAATGCAGTGACCAAACATCATTTGAGAAGATGAATGATGAAGCATGTTGTCCATCTCCTAACAAAGACAGAGAGGTGATAGCCTCAAGGTGCTTTGTGTCAGACACAGTCAATATGGGAATTTGTTTTGCCTGTCTATGCATATGTTACAAGGATTTTTTAACCTTTTTTTTCAGTGTGTGTGCGTGTGTGTGTGTGTGTGTGTGTGTGTGTGTGTGTGTGTGTGTGTGGGTGCACATGTACGTGTAGGGGGAGGCATTGGGACATTGGGAGAGAATTGGGGTAATAACAGCACCTGCCCATCAGGATTGTTATTAGGATCAAATGAGATAATATTCGTAAAATGCTCCATAACCTTTAAATTGCTATGAAAACATTAACAGTTATTATTATCAGATGTCTTCTGAGGTCTCTTCCAGCTTTAGATTTATGATCCCATGACACTTCTCTGGCTTCCTGCCCTTGGGAAATGCTAAGTAAAAGAGATAATGAGGGCGAGGCTGAGCTGTTGCTCTCTGTACCTGGTCTTGGCATGGGTCCTGAGTGGAGGAGGGGAGAGAGTTTCACAAAGAGCAAATGTACAGGAATTTAGTGACCCTATTCACCCTGTCTGCTCCCAGAACTTCCTTGACTCTTAGGGATTTTCATAGGATTTGGAACTGGAAGGGACCTTGGATATTATCTTGTCCAAACCTCCTTCCACAGATGAAAAATTGAGGCTAAAGTGGAGAAATAATCTGTCCAACATTACACGGGTAAAGGATACTTGTCCAAGTGCCCGAGGTCTTTCCCTCCACATGCCCAGCAGAAAAGCATGCAGTCAAGCAGTTCAGCCTTGGAGTGAGAACCCTGCAGAGTAGCTACCTCATGGAAGGTAGGGCCCTGCAGGGTTCAGCACAGCTGCACAGATTAATACACATCCATGGCCCTCCCACTCCTTAGCCATTGTCATTTCTGGACAAGTACCGTGTAATTTGGGGGAAATACATATTGGGTAATTACTATGGCAGTGATTAGGGATTCACTTTAGAAAAGAGGAAATATAATTATAGTTGCATTTTGTACTGTTTCTATGACAACGAGAGCAATAGTGATTGATCAGCAGTTTCTCTCCCTAACAGATAAGCTATTCTCATTCATATGAAATGCTAAACAGCAAATTAAATCAGCTCACTAACCCAACTGGAACTGCTGCAGGGGATTGGAATTAGATTATATTTGGTGGGATGACTTAGAGTCCCTCTCCTGGCTTTCATATTCTATGAAAAGGTATAGCATGGATACACAGGGTTAGATCAAAAGCCAGAGCTATTAAAGGGGAAGGGAATAAGTATTTATCTTGTGCCTACTATATGCCAGGCACTGTGCTAGGCACTTTTTACAGATATTATCTCATTTGACCCTCACAACAACCCTGTAAGATGGATACTACTATTATTCCCATTTTACAGTTGAGGAAACTGAGGTAAACAAAGGTTAAGTGACTTGCCCAGGGTCATACACTTATGGCCGAGGCCAGGTTTGAACTCAGGTCTTACTGACTCCAAATTCAGTGCTCTATCCACTGTGCCACCAGTTGCCAATTTATAGCAGATAATAATAGCAATTACAGAATATCCCTTATGGGTTACATCTACCTGAAAGGAAACTGGGCTCATGAAACCATGGAATGTTTCATATGGAAGCAGCATGGTGGGATAATCTGCCTCAACCTTCAAATTTCAGGCAAGATTCATTTATTCGAGACAAATTGTAGTTTAACCCATTTTTGAAGAGATCCAGGATCACAGATTCTATGCAGGGTCTTCCTAAGTGATCCCAATTATCTTCAGAGTGAGAAAGTTGTTGACTCTAAGGTAAACCACTTGTGTTGTAATCTTTTCTATACTCTGGAGAGGGAAGACTATTGGTCCATACTCTCTCAATAAAGAGAAAAATGGTACCCTGCATTTGCAGAGTTCTTTTCCATTCTTTATATTTCTCTTTTCGACAGTAGCTCCTTTACTTCATGTTCCTCTCTGTCATACATATGAGGGAACTAAGGTTAAATGAAATGCCCGAGGTTAGGTAGTGACAGACAAGACCACAGTATTAGACCTGGAAGAAACTTTGGAGGTCAATCAACCTAAACCCTTCGTTTTACAGATGAAGAAACTTTGGTGACACCAAAGGTCACAGAGGTCATAAGTAGCCAAAGTGGAATTTCAAACCTAATCCATTTCGATTTCCATTGTATAATGATACTCTATATTTGAAAATAGTAAATCATTCATCTTTTCTTCTCCAACCCGAATAGCCCAAATTCCATTAAACTGGCTCTTAGTTCCCAATTCCCATCTGTTTAATCATTTTTGTTGTTCTTCTGTTCCTTTTTCCAATTTCTCTGTGTCCTTGAGTCTTCTGGGTATGAATAGAAAATCTAATAAAAATGGCCTTCTTCATTTGTGGTGATGCCAAATCTGAGAAGTCCTATTAGCAAAGCAGAAAGTACTTGGATCGGTGATGACGATTACAATGAAACCAAGAGAATCTTGGTTTTATCGTAATTTCACTTTTACTTCTTTTCCAGGCACTCTTATCTGAGAAGTGAAGATAATTCCACCACCCTCTGGCATGAGAGGAAGGTAGGAGGATGAACCAGACAAATTCTATAAGACACTTTCAGTATCCTAAAAGGGGGGCAGGGAGAGTGGGCTCATTATATAGATGGAAAGTAAAATGATAGTAACTGTCCTCCAAGCTAGCCTTGGGCAATGTTGTGGAAGAGGTAGAATTCTCCTCTAGTATCCACCTAATCCCTCTAATATCCACCTCCTCTGTCCTTTATTTCTCCCTTGTACCTCCTCCTGATTCTACCCTCCAGGCAACCAGCACTCTCATTCCACCTACTCTTGTACGGCAACCAAGCCTGCCCTGCCTACCTAGTCCCCATTAAAACTATTCCCTCACTCTCCTGACCTCAGCCTCTCAAGGTGGACAGCAACCTCCCATGACTCCCAACACACTGTCCACACCGGGCATGGTATCTCCCATATTCATTCTTTGAACCTTTTTGCATGATACTCTTCCTGCCTGGATTGTCACCTCCTTCTTCTCTGCTCATCCAAATAGGTATCTTTTAGTATCCTAACTCCTACATGAAGCCTGTCTTTTTGTTTTGTTTTGTTTTGTTTTGTTTTGTTTTTAGGCAATTGGGGTTAAGCGACTTGCCTAGAGTCACGCAGCTAGTAAGTAACAAGAGTTTGGTCTCAGGCCAGATTTGAACTCAGGTCCTCCTGACTTCAGGGTGGGTGATCTATCCACTGCACCACCGAGCTGCCCCCATGAAGCCTTTCTTGACAGCTCCAGTCCACAGGGATCTATCTCTCTCTTCTCTTCTCTTTTCTCTCTTTCTCTTTACATCTCTCTCTTTTAAACACCTCTTATGCTATTCTGCAACTGTTTCCTTTGGGCAGCTCTACCCTTCCCAGGGAGATTGTAAAGGCCTCAAGATTACAGGTGGCATCTTTATATGATATGTGGTACAACACTTAGCACAACATTATGTGCAGAGTAGCTCTAATTCTGCCTTCCGGAGTGGAATAAACCACATCCTTCAGCCATATGGCAATTCTTTAAATATCTGACCTCAAGAAAACAATCATATCCTCCCTAAATATTCTCTTCTCCAGGGTAAACATTCTCACTTTCTTTGACTCAAGAGTTCTTAATCTTTTTTTTGGATCATGGATCCTTTGGGTGATCTTTTGAAGCCTATGGGCCCAGTCTCAGAATAATGTTTTTGAATGCATAAAATAAAACACACAAGATTACAAAGGAAATCAATTATACTGAAATGTAGTTATCAAAATATTTTAAAAGGAAACAAGCTCATAGACCACAGGTTTGTGGTCCTCTGCTTTGACTATTTCCCAAAGGACACAGTTTCCAAATCCTTCATAATCTTAGTTACCTTGTTTCGAATATATTTTGATTTGTCAAGTTCCTTCTTCAAACAGGGATCTCAGAAGTGGAAAAAGTACTCTATTCAGACAGTCATTCAACACCTACTAATTACATGCAAAGTAGTATTTAGACCTAGAGAACCAGATTCTATAATTGCCAATCTAGAGTTCAGTCCACTAGAAGGTGGCAATATGGACCACACCACAGATTGATGTCACTAATTACTTTACAACCACCAGTTCATCGCTTTATTTTTTTTAAATGTTTACTGACTATTAAAAGGACTATAAAAGGAAGGAAAAAAGGTGCAGCTTACATCCTTGTAGAACTTTGTAAAAGATTTTGCAAAATGCTTTATATATTTCAACTCATACAAAATGGGAAGATTACAGAGACTGGAGATGAATTTTACTTCTCTCATAATTTGGCCCTCAAGTAAAGGGAGAAGGTTTCAGTTAAGTGATTATAAAAACATTTAACCCCTGTAATCATCCTTCATAGTCACATCAAATCCCAGAATTCTAAAATTTCAGAGTTGGCATCTCAGGTCATGTAGTCTCAACTAAAACTGAGCTCATGCTCCTCCTGGATTCACCACTCAGATTTCCACCCTCTGGAATCACAATCTATCTCATGTGTACTCTACTCAGCAACTTTTTCCTTCAAAACTAGTCAGGAAAACATCACTTCTCCCAGTGTGGTCCATGGGACCTCTACTCTCAGTTAGTGTGCTGTCTTCTGTCCCTTACAGGAAGTAAGAGATAATCCTCTAAGAAATGAATAGTTTAAATATTCACAGACCATGTCGATCTAGGCCCCTCAGCAATATGAAAATCATGAAGCTCACAAGTACTTGAGAACCAGTAGCTAAGCTGCTAGATACTAGTAGGCAGCTAGGTGGCACCAGGCCTGGAGTTAGGGAGACACACCGGAGTTCAAACAACCTCAAACACTTATTAGCTGTGTGACCTGCGTGATTCACTTAACCTCTGTTTCCTAATCTGTAAAATGGGGGTGATAATAGCACCTTACCTCCTAGGCTTGTTGGGAGGTAGCTAGGTGGCTCAGTGGATACAGCACTGGGCCTGGAGTCAGGATAAAGCCGAGTTCACATTTGACCTCAGATACTTACTAGCTATGTGACTCTGGGCAAATCATTTAACCTCTGTTTGCCTTAATCCACTATAAAATGAAAAAGCAAACTGCTCCAGTATCCTTGGCAATAAAATTCCATTGACAGTATAGTCTAATATTATACTACAACCTAGGCTTGCTGTAAGGATTACATGAAATAATAATTTTAAAATGCTTAGCACAGCACCTGGAATGAAGTAAGCAGTTAATAAATATTGGCTATTCGTAGTGCTTATAGTAGGTCAACAGAAGGCTAAGAAAGGCCATTCAAGCCTGCAGAGCCATGAGTGTTTAGCTGTGTTTGCTGTCCCTTAGCTATTCGACAAGTACCAAGGGAAGCCTAACCTTAGTCAGAGACTAGTGCACATGTACTCTACAGGGTAATCTTCTTGGGCTTTAAGAAGGTCCTAGGATCTATTTGCCAGTGAAGGCCTGGAGTACCCGCTCCCGGATCTGATTAGTTCTCACACCATAGGTGACAGGGTTGAGTGCTGGTGGAATGATCATACAGAGGTTGGCAATAAGAACATGGGCATATGGGGGGATACTGTGACCAAATCAGTGAGTGAGGAACAGTTCATCGCTTTAATGATCTGAATACCTTTTCTCAAAATTTGCTTCAGTTAAGTCTTCATTCAAAATATGAAGGAGAAAGAATATAGGGAATAGAAAAAGTAAGTTTAGGGGAAAAAAGTCAATATAGCACAGAATAGGTAGTCCTCAATGTGCAGTTTTAGAATTTTAAGTGCTATGTTTCCAGGAAATATGTACCCCTCTTCTTTTCAGAAATGGAGGGCTATGGGTGTGGAACAGCGTATATTGTTAGAGTTGGGCAATGTGTTGGCTGGTTTTGCTGACATACTTTTTCCCCTGTCTTTTTATTTTTTGTTATAAGGAGCAACTTTTTGGGGAGAAAGAGATATCTGGGAATAAAGGTGATGATGAAAGATATTAACAGCATTTTTTAAGTTAAAAAAGAGTTTTTCTTCCTGTGATCTAAATAGTATTTTCTCACAGAAGGCTCCCTCTATCTAGAATATGGCACCAGGTCCTTCAGGATAAACTTACCCTTACATAAAATATAGAGGATGGCCTTGTCTTCAATATTACTCATCCCAGAAAATACCTTGTTAATTCACTCATCAAATAGTTACTGAGCACCTACTATGTGCAAGGCATTGTCCAAGGCACCCTATAGATACAAAGCTATATAAGGTCTCTTACAGCTATTCTCAGAATGTGTGAGCTGTCAATGTTAAAGTCTGAAAATCTTAAATAAATACTTCTATTCAGGATACTTGGGTGAGAAAATAATTCTCAGCACTTGGGTTTCTGATGCTGTCATAGGCAGATTCACTGCACACATAACACTAGGTAAAGCTAGATAAATAAATACATAAGCAAATAAACAATCACAAGCCTTGAAGCCAAGGTCGAAGGTTTCAGAGAAAGTCTACAATGGCACCTTCAGAAATTCTTATCGTCACTAAAGGGTGCAAATTTGATCCTGAACAAATTCAATGAAAGCTAGAAGGTTAAGTACCATAGGACCAGAAGCACCTATGTCCTGGGTGCTGGATGTACAACTGGGCTCCTTACCTTCACCTTCCTCCCTCCTAACTAAATGATGAGAAGGACTCAAGAAGCCCTCTTTTCAGTAACTTCTGCAAAGTCAAAACCAATAGGATCCTTCTTTCAGAGGAGGAGAGGGAAACTGAGGGACTGTCTATACTGTCAGAGTCTTCAGAAGCTTGGGTTTCTTTTACCTACTTGTATGCCCCTCCCACCTTGATCCCTAAAAGGTGGCTTTTCCCTATATCACACACAGGGAAACTGGATTCAGAAGATGAGTCCAGAGCCACCTGTCCCGGTCTAACTCCTGCCATACTTTTCCTGAAAATGAAACCACCTCTGCTACACTCTAAAGACCAAAAAGAAAGTCAATCAGTGTCATTACCTTAGAGAATCACCAAGGGTCTCCTCATCGGAAGAGAAGGCACCATTGCAGGCATTTGGGAAAGGGTGATTCTGTGTTGCCCCCGAAATCTCCCGGGACAAGGGAGCTTCTTTCTTTTTTCTTCTGCCAAACAACTTCTTAAAAGGCTGGAATTTGCCCGTCTTCTTCTTGTCTGTGGATTACAAGATAAATACACAATAAAGCCTACCAGTGGAGCACCTCTGGGTCCAACAGCAAATGACAGCAGAGCTCCTGTTGGCCAGGGCAGTCTGAGGGCAAAGGGCAGCCATCAGCCTTGAGGAGCCGGTCGGCAAGGGAGTAAGCCCTGTGCCTGGAATATAAATACCCTGACAGACACTGCCTGAGCAGTCATGACAAAGCAAAGTCAAGAACACAAAAAACGGTCGTCCTTCAGGCTGCCCACGTTGGGTTCAGACTGGCTGAACACTGGAGGGAAAAGAGAAAAGGTTCAATCACTTCATGCTCAGTGGGCACCCCATTCATACATTCCATGCAAAGGAGTGGCACAGCCTTCACGAATAAAGCAGGTGGCAGAGTGTCTGGTTTGGGCAAAAGAGGCTGGAAAATGACGCGTGAGACAAACTGGGGCAGCAGGGTGGAGGTGGAGGGGGGAGAGCAGGAAAGATTATTCTATTCTTAAATCTTCTTGTCTGACCTTTGTCAGAAACAGACATTTTTTCTTAAGCTTGCTGCAAGTCATTTCCTTAACACTCTCTGACACCCTTTGACAGTTCATTTCTCCTGCCCTGAAAAGCCCCTACAGAATTTTTCTTAACTTCTTTCCATATATTTCTGAAATGGCTGAACTTCTGGAAGCTCTCCTTGCATTTCCTTTAGACCAGGTGTTCTTAACCTGGAGTCTGTAAACTTGTTTTTAAAAAATATTTTGCGAACTTCCATTTCAGTATGATTGGTTTTCTTTGTAACCCTATGTATTTTGTTTTATATTTTTTAAATCATTATTCTGAGAAGTGTCCATAGGCTTCCTCAGATTACCAGGAGTCCATGACACAAAAAAAGGTTAAGGACATCTGCTTTAAACCCTGGGTAATACTTGTCAATAATAAATGTTTGCACACCCTTCATAAAGTCCTCCCCACCCAAGTCACCCATCTCTTCTGTTGAAAAAATGGTCTCTTTACACAGGCATCATAATGCCTTCAAGCCTTTCCATTTTCTACAAGAAATGGGTAAAGCTGGGCCCCCGCTTCCCAGGTGGTCACACTTCTTGAACTCTCAAATCTGGAACAAACTGGGAAGCCAGAAGAAGCAAAGAAGTCAGATCATCGAGGCAGATGACTATTAGAAAACCCATGTAATTGGCTTTCAAATGAGGCATAGAACCACCCTCAGGCCAGAGCTAGAGGCTCAGAATTGGGTGCAAAATGAAGGTTACTGACTTTACAAGTAGCACACTTATATAGTTTTACTCTAACGACATTCAGCTCTGCCCTAAGTTACAAACATTAGAAGGCAACAGACATTATTCCAGTGAGAAGTGACAACTAACCTAGCCTTTATAGTATAGGATAGGATGGAAAGCACATTAGATTTCGAGTCAGTAGACTTGGGTTCAATCTGTGCTACACAGTTCACTATTAATGTGACCTTGAACAAACCAATCAATCAATACACATTTATTAAGCACCTACTATGCCCAGGCACTGTGGTAGGTGTTGGGGGGTACAAAAACAAAAACAACAATAATAGTAGTAGCTGGCATTTCTATAGTATTTTAATGTTTGCAAAGCACTTTACACATCTCATTTTATCTTCACAACAACCCCAGGAGATAGATCATTTCCACTTTACAGTTGAGAAAACTGAGGCAGAGAGAGCTTAAGTGACTTCCCCAGGGTCACACAGCTCGTAGATGTCTGAGGCTGGGTTTGAACTGAAGTCTTCCTGACTCTAGGTCCAAAACTCTCTGCTCTGCTCACTGTCCTCAGCGAACTTACATTCTATGAGGGGAAAACATTATGTACAGATATATGTAAATACAAACCATACACAAAATAAACATAAATTAATTTCTTTTTGGGGGGGTATTGACAGCCGGAATGGGAATGGGGTCAGGAAAGACAATCTTGAAAAGAGCTAAATTCTGAAGGATGATGGGGATTTTAAGAGATCAAGGTGGAAGCAGCTAGGTAGTGGAGTGGATAGAGAACCTGCTCTGGAGTAAGGATGACCTGAGTTCAAATCCAGCCTCAGATACTTACTAGCTATGTGACCCTGGACAAGTCACTTAACCCTAATTGCCTGAGAGAGAGAGAGATCAAGGTGAAGGGCATTCTAGCCATGGGGGACAGTATATGTAGGCAAAGGCACAAAAGCAAAGGGAATGCTGTACTATATACTCAAGTAAACCAGATTGTCTGGAACACAGATGGGAGTAATGTGTCATCGGCCTAGGAAGGTGGTCTGGCAACAGACTGTGAAGGACTTCAAATGCCAAAAGGGAATTTGCATTCGGTTCTAGAAGCAACAGGGAACCACTGGAACTTTTTGATCAGGGTTGGATTATGGTTAGTTCTGTGCTTTTAGAAATATAATTTTGACAGCTGTGTGTGAGATTGATTGGGAAAGGATAAAGATTTGAGGCAGAGGAGCCCAATTAGTAGGCTATTATTACAAAAGATGACAGAGGCTTGAAGTAGGATAATGTCCATGTGAACAGAGAGAAAAGGGAAAAGGTGTGGTGGAGGTAGAATCCAGACTCTCAGTTTGAACAGGTTAGATTCTATCTAACATATCTTTCACTTCTAAATCCTAGGAAGCAGACCTGGGATTCTGAAGGTGTGGCTCTTTTAGGTCAGGCTGTTTCAAGATTTTATGTGCTACTGGTGAACAAGCCAATAGGATTATACATTATATAGGTAATAACTTGGAAGAAGGAACACCTTATTCCTTACACAGATGTCAAAGTCCAAATGTCAGGTCAAGGAATGCTTGTGAATTTCAAGGGAATGCTGCCTCAGCAATACCTCTGTGATGGCCAGAAAGTTTAAAAGAGCAAGAAAACCTGCTTGAATTTCTGCCCATCCATGTTTCAGTTACAAAACATATACTCAGAGACAGCCAATGCTGCCCTCTTCAAAAACTGTGGAATTGTCACAGCTAACAGTAGGACCACAGATGGGGCAGCCTTGTACCAACTTTCTTCAGGACTTTTGTTCCAGTGTTCTGTTTTGGTGACATCTCAATTAAAAAAGAATCTGTCCCTTCCTAGACTACATTCTCTGACTGAAATATCTTCCAAAGCTTCAATTAAAATGAGTTGTTCTATGTTTTGCTATTATATGATTATTGACTGCTTGTGATATTGGATAAATTTGACATAATTAACTAGGATTAAACTTTGAAAAATTATCCTATTATTACTGAAGCACATTCTATTTCTAGACAAAAGAACCATGATGTGAAATAATTTTTTTAAATTATATTGGACTTTTTATTCCGTTTCCTTGATCTCGGTAATCTGTTTTGGGGGAAGGTATAGAAACAAGATCCTGTATCATAAAAAAAGCAGACTACCTAAAATTTTCCACCACAGTAACGTATACATTTGAATGGCATCATGAAAAACTTGTACTCTTTTGATGAAAAATCTAAAACTGAGTCTATATGCAATTAGCATTACCAAATTGATCATTTTTGTGGTTAATGATGTGGTTTTTTTCCTCCTCTGTGTTAATAGCAAGTCTCCACTTAATCAGAGAATCCTAATGTTGGAAGGGACCTCAGAGGGCCACCTAATCTAATTTGTAGCTGAATAAGAATCTCTTCTCTAACACACTTGACAAGGGGCCTTCCAGCCTTTGCTTGGAAAAAGAGCCAGGTAGAAAGAGCCTCTGAAGGCAGCCTTTCTACTTTCGAACAGCTCTAATTTTGTAGATGTTTTTCCTCACAACAGATCTCAATTTGTCTTTCTGCAGCTTTCACCCACTGCTCCTGAGGTCCTTCAGGGGGTGCTAATGTGGCATGATCTTGAGACCATCTTATCTATGTCCTTCCTGAAATGTGGTGCACAGAAGCAAACACAATAATCCAGCTGTGGACACTTAGCAGGACTTAGGAAAGGGTAACCATCACCTGCCTAAGCCTGAACACCTACCTATGTCTCTTTTTTGCAGAAGATGAATCTGAAATTTAGAGAGATTAAGAGATTGCCCCATGGTTGCCTAGCTGGAGAACACAGCTGAAATACTAAATACTAAAAATTATTTCAGTTTGGGTATTTGATTTATTTGGCTTTATTTTGAAAGAACAAGGCAATTCTAACAATGCAATAAAAATGAAAAACCTGGGAAATTCTAACAGAGTCAGAATCTCAGATGCTCAAGGACAAATGGTCATCCCATCAAAGGCATTTGGGGGCATCGCTCTACTTGACCACAATTAAATTCCCCTTTATCCAAACTTTCATCAGTCAAACTGAGAGGTTAAAAAGGAGACGTTAAGGAATAGTTTTGAGTTTACAAGCTTCTGAACTCCATGAGAGCAGTGTCTTATTTAAACTTTGCATGCCTAGCAGTGTTCTTCACACAGAACTGTAAGAGTTTATTTAAGGTCTCTTGAATTGCATTGGTTCAGCAGGGTTTCTGTTGCCCTCACAGAACAGTACCAGATGCTTTGGAACCTCATGCTGATGCACTGGGCTTCTACCAGGGTTGAATGAATGACCCCTTCCAAAATTCCTTCATTCCCTGTCACTGGCGAGCCAAACTGTCCACTGGCAACAGGCCAGCCAATGACAAGCATATCAGCAAATAAAAACCATTGCTTCTGTGTCTGACAATGACTGATAGATAACTTGGCCAGCCAGGGTCATGATGGAAAGAAGGAGAAAAGGACTTCTTTCCTTACATTTTTCATAACTACATCTTGGGTTGCCTTATGACAAAATTCCTGGGCAGCCTCTCCCCACCCCCAAATATTCAAAACTGAATCTCCTAGAAGTTTGAAAGATTTAAAGTGTATCGTTTGGGAAAAAATGTTCCTTAGTACTGTGACATTTTATATCCCCAATTTTACTTTCATAGAACAAGGGGACAGGGGAGATGAGTCATGGTGACTGCTACCAAAAGCATATTTAATCAAGTATACCAGTTTGATACTGCCTGAGATTAAAGTCCTCAAATTTGTGCA